CATTGTACAAAGAAAATTTAAATATTTAAATGTTGTCTCTCTCTTGCCTCTGGTTCCTGAATAAGTGAACAATGAATTTTCCTTAATAGTGGCTAAAAGTAATGTTTCTTGACAAACAAGATTAGGATTACAATCAAAATGTGTCTTTATATTGAAGGAGACAGTTGTACTAGCAAAGAAGTATTTCTGAAACTAAACTCACAACAGTCTTTTTAGCCTTTCTGTTGTAAATCTCTTTTAGATCACATACATGTTTGTTAAAGATATTAGCAAAAAAATAATAATTCTTAGAGATACACAATGTGGGGGTTATATTTTTAACTCCAAACCTAATTTTTCTTGATTATGCTTTTATAATGTAGTACACTGAGAAAAGTTGCATTAATCATGCTTAAAAATAAACCATGTTTGATGCTACAATTGGTGGTCAACTGCATAGGCCCCAGTTTGGTTCTATATTTCTAATCGAAACTCCCAGACCTTATGTGGAGGCATTCACATTTATCTCTTGATTGAATTCAGAAGCTAAAGGCAAACTCTACTTCTATCTGAATTATGAAAGAGGCTTCATTTTTTAATCAATATCTCCAGACATTACTATAAAGATTTGGCTTCCCCCCCACTAAGCTTACTTTATGGACTGCTTCCTCACATGTAAAGTTGCCAGACAATTAAAGAAAGTTTCAGAGGCATTAATGTGACTCTGAAAAATTGCCCAGTCAAGACCTGTCAATCATTTTATTTATTTATTTATCAGCCACTCATTTTGCTGTCATGCAACAATCTTATTTCAATACCTCCCTTCAAAACTAAAAAAACAATTCCTCTAAAATCAGTCACTTCAGTTAGCATTATTGTTAATGTTGGCTATAATATATACTTTAATCTTCCTAATATTTTTTTTGAATTTAAGGGACTATATAGTATTTATATGTGCATACATGCATGCACGCACATACAAACATCTACAACTACCTATCTATCTACCTATCTATAGATAGAGATAGAGATATATTCTGAAAGTCCATTTTGAAAAAACAGACAAGAAAAATCTATCTAGCTTTCTTAAGTGTAATTAAAAATACTATGATAAAACAACAATCCACATGCTTGTGATGAAGATATTATTGCTAATGTATTATAGCAATGCCCCCATGAAAACCTGGACAATTCTTGGATTTCAAGCATAATATTATGAAGTATATCTAAATGTTCTTAAATTGGTTCCCTCCCATCAACAAATTTTCTAAGAAATGTGAATTGTTATTTAAATTCATTAGTCACCCAACTGCAATGGACAAACGCTATACATGAACTGAATTCCGATTCTATTGGCTTAAGAGGTATGAGTAACCTGTAAATATGGGGTTTCTTCCAGAATTCCAAGACATTAGCTAAAACCTGTAAAGCACCCAGTCTAACAAGTTACCTCTCCTCCTATCCTCTATATTAAAGACTTAATTCATGACAGATTTTATGGTTGTACAGGTAGTATTTGACATTTGTTTATTGACCATTCAAAGTTACAATGGAACTGAAAAAAGCAACTTATGACTAGTTGTCACACTTGCAACTGTTCCCACATTGTCCATGGTCATGCAATCAAAATTCAGGCACTTGGCCACAGGCATGAGTTTATGACAGCTGCCCATCTCAGAGTCACATGATCACCATCTGCAATGATCGTAGCTGGTTTCTGACAGGTAAACTCAATAGGGGAAGCCAAATTCACTTAACAACCACAAGCTTCATTGAACAACTGCAGTGATTCCCTTAACAACTGTCGCTTCAATGGTCATAAAATGGAACACCACTCACTTAGCAACTATCTTGATCAGCAATGGAAATTTGGGATCAATCGTAAGTCAAAGATTATCACTAATAGTAAAGCCAACACCCACACTTAATCAACCATAAGAAAGAGTTCTGGAGAACTTAAAAGCTTGTTTGATATTTTATAGTTCATATTACCTAAAGAGGATCTTGGATATATATTTTTCTCATGGCCAAGCAATTCAGTTTGCTTTTAGATTGATTGTGGGTTATCAAGTCACTGCCAAATCTTAGCAACCACATAAATACTTTAGATTATCCTGACAATTTGCTTTTGATATCAGTCAACAGAGAATGGATTGTTTCTTTGTACTGGCCCAATTACTTTAGGTCTAGTATTAATATTTCAATAGAACCCACTCATTTGGGAATATAAATCCTGGTTTCCCTCATGTTTGCACCCTTGCATCATATTCTAATCTAACCTGATTAGAACATTGGTTAGCTTTTGAATGGTGACCACCCTTAAAACTGTTAAGTTTCTAAATCAACAGAGTAATTTCTCTGCAATTCCCTAACAAACACATGCATAACTGAGTCATGCTCTATCTCTGAATGGTTACTATCACGCAATCAAAGTTACATCTCTCAAAATATTCACCACTGAAAAATGATTCTAGTCAGATGAGACTGACTAGTGTAAAAGGCATCCTGTAGCTACAAAGTCGTCTGATAACAAAGATTAAACTATATCATTTCTGCTGAGGACTCAGAAGGGCTGACACAAAGAAGAATGCCTCTTTCATTTAGCCAAACAAACCTTCTGCCTCTTGGTGATAACTTGAATGTTTCCTCTCTCCTTTTTCTTCCCTGGGAGAAGGAATTTTCAAACTTCTATATCTCCTTCTTGTTCTGATTGTGCACTAGAGGGAAGGGGGAAAAAAGAAAGATAAGTGAGTAAATAAATTCCAACCCTTTAGTCAACTGCTCCAAAAATGCATTTCTTTGTCACTATGAACTTCAATCATGATGTCTTTTGGAAAGCTTTACAGACAGTTATTCTGCTCAACTCCGCGTCTACAAAACAGTCTACAATCCACACACTCCATCGTATAGGCATCATTGCCTTTCAAACCTTAACAATTTTATTCATTTACTATAAAGATATTAAACCACAGTTCTTCCTACCCATCCACTTTTTAGATTCCATTACTTTACTCTATTACTCTATTACAAGGCATCACATTTGGCCAAACTGCAACCTTCTTGTACGTTGTTTTGATCTCTAACTTTCATTAAAAAAAAACATATGAGGCTGTAGTGGAATTTTAATTTTGTTTAATATAAAATTCTTTATTTAATTTCTATGACTGTTCATGTGAACCAAGTGACTTTGGGTAGCTTACAGTTCTAAAACAATAAAATATTTTGAAACAATAAACACACACAGACAGACAGACACACACACACACACAAATTTGTTTTTAGATAATGAATGAATTAGAAAGGTTAGTTGAACCAATAAATACATTTGAGGCCTCAGGCCTGGCTACACAGTCATGTTTTTAAAGCATTATGAAAGGCCAACCAAGTTGGGGCCATTCTAATCTCTGAGGGCTGAATAGTCCATAGGTCAGGGGCTACAGTGGAGGAGGCTTATCAGTGCTTGACATTGTTTAACTAATGCCAAACAAAGAAGAAGGGGTCAACTTATTTTCCAAAGCACAAGAAGGCAAGATAAGAAACAATGGACGGAAACTAATCAAGGAGAGAAACAACCTGGAATTAAGGAGAAATTTCCTAACACTGAGAACAGTTAATCAGCTGGGCATCAGAAGCTGTGGGTGCTTTAATGCTAGGGTTTTTAAGAAGAATCTGGACAACTACTTCTTTGAAACTGTGTAGGGTCTCTGCTTGAGGAGGGGATTGGACTAGATGATCTCCAAGGTCCCTTCCAACTCTATTCTGGTGGATTAGTGGGATTTCCAACATGCTCATTCTGTTGGATCAAATTGGATGAGTAGAAACTCTTGGAAAAAGGCAGTCCCTCAGGTAACCCAATAATCTAGTCTCAACCCATATAGGATTTTAAAGGTGACAATTGCACCAATAATTCTACTGGTGGCCAATGCAGCTCATGTAATAGTGGTGCTACTAATGCCATGAATCCAATACCATTTCCTATCCATGCAGTCATGTACTGAACCAGTTGAAATTTCCAAGTGTTCTTCAAGGGCAGCCTCATGCAGAGCATATTGCAGTAAACTTTAGGGCTATGTTTTTTAATTTATCAATTGAATACATGGACTCCTGATACTGAAGAAAATATATATTTCAAAAGTTAAGTACCTCTCTATTTTATCTGTATCTTTTCCAGCTTAATCTGAAATTCCTCTGAAATTCCTTTATTTCCATCAAGATAAAAGTAAAAATCCATGTTTCTTTCTTTTCTTAATACTTCAAGCAAGACAGAAACATAACCGATTCATAGTATAAAGGCTACTGGAATAATCACATATTTTTTTCTCTGCCCACTCATAACTAGTCCTCTTTTAATGCCATTCTTCTTTTGTCTATTTTAATTGCAACTCTTTTTTTAGACCTGGTCCACATATCCAGCTTAGCCATGATTTACTGCACTGAATAATGCACAGTTGGCTGGTTTTCATTATATCACATTTGATTATAAATGTTGATTGACAAATTAATATTACTTGGCTTACACAAAAGGCAAATAAATGACATTGCACGTGAACTCATTGCGATTTCCTGAAACACTTCAATTTTTTGTAAAACATAATCCACACAGGACATAAGAAACCTCCATATATACAATGTGACCATGGTCCAGATAGTCAATAATGTCCAGGACAATAATCCAGGTCTTCAGGAAGAAGTTCTTCAACTCTACTACAGACATTGGGGATGGATTTCTTGCATTTCAAGTGCATGCTCTATAATAAAACAGGGCAACATCATGAGTGCTAAATAATAAACTGCATTTACTTTTTCTACTGGCTCTTGGAATAAGGATTGTCACAACTGTTCTTTGAAACACCTAGATTATTGATGACAGTCAGGAGGATGGCAAAGTAGCAGCAGCAGCAGCAGTAATAACAGCAGCAACAACAGCGTTTCTCTCATTTGTGCACAAACTAATCAGAATGTTAACATCCTTGGAAAATAAACAAGGGACTATTCTAGGACACTTGTGGGGAGGATCATATCAAATTCAACTGAGAATATCCTCCTTTTTTATCCTGCAAAGTTCCTGCCATTCCAAAGCCAGTGCCAGTTGAAACAGCACCAAACTGATGATGAAGTAGCTGAAAATGCTGTTTTCAATTCTCATTTCCCCTAAGACACTTGGTGGTGCAGTGGTTAGAATGCAGTACTGCAGACTAACTCACTGCTAACTCCAGGAGTTCAATCTTGACAGGGCTCAGGGTTGACTCTGTCTCCCATCCTTCCGAGGTCAGTAAAATGAGGGCCCAGATTGTTGGGGGTGATATGCTGAGTCTGTAAACCGCTTACGGAGGGCTATAAAGCACTATGAAGTGGTGTGTAAGTCTAAATGCTGTTGCTATTTGTCTTATTTACCTCTAAATTCTTGAGAGTACAAAAAAGTCTTTGTGAATATAAGTATCCAAGCATTTACTGCCCTGATACAAGCATTTGTATGGATCTGCACATCAATGTGCAAGATGTAATGTGCGCTTTTGTAAGTAAAACAACAACAACAAGGGCATTATACCAAGCCAAACTAAAAAGAAACCCAAACATTAAGCATGTCTCATACATTAAACAAATGTAAGAGGTTTCTTGACAGTGAAATATTATATTTTCAGTATAACTGAGTTGAAGCTCCTGAATATCAAATTTTAATTCCATATAGGCTTTGAAAGTTCTAACTGCATTTAAGGGAATATTTTCTGCCTACCATCCTTAAGAAGATTAGGTTATTACCAACAAGAAATAAATCCAGCATTTTAATACTAATTCCTACTGAATCAAACCTACATTATTCAGGGAAAAGCATATATGAATTTCTTCCTTATTCATATTCTGTATGCAGTCATCCAAACAATAAATACTCAGTGTGAAACTTTGGTATGCATGAGACAGATATTCTGACAATGGCTACTACAATTATGCAAAGTGAAGAGAGATGATATTGGCAGCAAAATCTAACCATTCCAGTTTCTAAGCAGATATACTACAAAAAGGGATTAATATGATGATGTTCTGCTGGCAATATCAGGAATACTAACAAGTATTCCTTGATACATAAGACTAACATCCTGTTATTCACAAAACTTTTGTAGTTACAGAAATTTAGTGGAGAATCTTGTTTCTTAGCAGAGGGAGTCAGCATTATCCGAAGATGTTTCCATGATCATGTGATCAGCATATCAGGCCACAGCACACAGCGTGCAGCGAAACATAGAATATTGTTACCTTCCCAAAGAAGTACCTATTTATCTACTTGCATTTTCATACTTTCAAACTGCTAGGTGGGCAGAAGCTGAGGCAAGAACGGGAGCTTGCCCTGTCATGCAGCATTAGGGTCTTGAACCTGTGCTGTTAACTTTCCAGCTGCAAGCTTAGTTTCTTAATCGCAGAGTCATCACGCTCCCAATTCACTCATAAATAATAGCGCAATTCTTGCCACCAATTCTTCAGATAGCTCCTCCATGTTTGTAAGCTGAAACAAAATATTGTTCTGCCTTGGTTCCACCATAGAAAATGTGTGATGTACTAGTTACAACAGGGACCGGGGAGACCCAAGTTTAAACCGGCCTCAATTACGAGAGCTGACTGAGTTGACTTTTGGAGTATCTGTCATCTGTCAGCCCAGTCTATTCTGCTTACATAAGCTCTTCTGAGTCTCTGCAGGGAAAGTATGATATCAGTCAAAGAAACAAACAATATTTATGACATTATTCTGCTAGAAAACTAAGGACCAGTTGGAAATAAAAGCTTTTTTTTCTTTAACATAGTTTTAAATCCCAAATATTTGGAAGAATTATTGGCTTCTATATTATTGTGATCAAATAATTGTCATCTTATTCTGTTTGTTACTGTTTATAAACCACCTAGAATCTGTCTAGGGAGGCAGGGATAAATCAATAAGTGCAATATTTGACCAACCTTTTGAAAAAATTTCCTCTCCACACATTCATTCAACAGACAGAGGCAGTGATGGAGATTTATCACTTCCACAAAAGATAGTGCAACAACAGACAGAGTGGTAATCATATGACAGATTGGTGAATGAATTTGCTCCCTAAAATTCAAGGCTAGGAATCCAGCCTGTGCATTACTTTTGCACCACATGCAAATTGTGACTGCAGCCTGCCAAATATCACCCAACTGCATGACTTCTACAAGTCCCTTATTATCTTTAAGATGCTATACCATTAAATGAAATGTTTACAAAACACTGAACATGTTGAAGGTTAAAGCAGCAGAGCCATTAGCATTTTGATAGGTTTCCAGAACACATAAAAGAAGCAAGTCTTTAAAATTCATTGCCTTAAGATTAATCTTTCTCTTACAGCATTTTCTTCCCAGCTTGAGGCAGCTATCAAGCTAGCTTACTGTTCTATAACACTTCTTAAACTGTCCTGTAGGGATGCTAAGACAGGAAGGCTCAACTCAACCAGTAGTCAGTTTACAGAGAAGTACCTTCTGGTAGAATGTACTGCATATGCTCATCACAAGTTGACATTTTAAAAAATTAAAGGCTGATGCTGCAAGTGTTCTGAATAAAAACTGGGTGAATCTGAAATACAGAATCCAATCACTTCCACCCTGTCCCTAGTTTTGATTTGAAAATAGAATTGACGTATTACTCATTATCCGTATTAAGTTCGGAATTAACTGAAGAGGCGTGAGGCGGCTGAGGTAAGAGAACAGGTAT